GTTCAAGCACAGGTTGTGCCGGTGGGCAGGAGCTGCGAGGAGGGACTGGATGCAGTTGCTCAGTCATTGTCAGCACCACCGTGCTTCGCCGCCGCACAGAGGAGGCTGCAGGTCTGAAGAGCCGTTCTGCTTGGAGAGCGTCCCTTTTGTGGCCCCCTAGACAGAGGGAGGTGCAGAGCTGCCAAAGCAGACCTGTGCCTAGAATGTCCGATGTGAAAGGGAACCAGTATGTGCAAACCTCTGCCAGACCCATCAAGGCTTGTTTGGTTTGTGTTCTTCTGAACCGGGCTTAACAGCATGCTGGGGGCCTGAGCTCCTGGGAACACCATGAGTGGTGGTTTCTGCTCCTCCGGCGCACAGCATAGTCCCCAGCAAAGGCAGCGCTTCTCTTTACGTGGACAGAGCTGATCCAAGCTTGCAGAAGAAACTCTTGCAGCAAGAACCAAGCACAACCTTACTGTCCTCAGCTTCAAGCCCAGTTGCATGTACCACCAGTGCAGGTTGCTGCTGCAGCACTACTCAGCTGATTCTTTGAGCCACTGTAAAATTGAATTTTCCCCAGGATTTCTTCAGGAACAATGAGGAAACACACCCCATCCCTCTTCTTTTATTTGTAATACAGCAATGAAAGTTTTCCTTCCTTTTCATCCTTCGCTGTTTTAGAAATTGTTTAGACATAAAGTACCATGAGTGCAAAATGGTAGGGTACCAAAAAAGTCACGTCCATCATAGAATCATAGAATGGTTTGGGTTGGAAGAGACCTTAAAGATCATCTGGTTCCACCCCCCTGCCATGGGCAGGGACCTCCCCGCCCTCAGGGTGAAGAATTTCTTCCTTATATCTAATCTAAATCTACCCTCTTTCAGTTTAAAGCCATTACCCCTTGTCCTGTCACTATGTGCCCCTGTAACAAGTCCTTCTCCAGCTTGCTTGTAGGCCCCCTTCAGGCACTGGCAGGCTGCTGTAAGGTCTGCCTGGAGCCTTCTCTTCTCCAGGCTGAACAACCCCAACTCTCTTAGCCTGTCCTCAGAGCAGAGGTGCTCCAGCCCTCTGATCATCTTCGTGGCCTCCTCTGAACTTGCTCCAACAGGTCCATGTCCTTCTTATGTTGGGGCCCCCAGAGCTGGATGCAGTGCTCCCGGTGGGGTCTACACAGAGCAGAGTAGAGGGGGAGAATCACCTCCCTCAACCTGCTGGCCATGCTTCTTGTTATGCAGCCCAGGATATGGTTGGCTTTCTGGACTCCAAGCACACGTTGCTGGCTTATGTCCAATTTTTCATCCACCGGTATCCCCAGGTCCTTCTCCACAGGGCTGCCCTCAATCAATTAATTCCCCAGTCTGCATTGGTACTGGGAATTGCCCCAACCCAGGCAATTTTATTACCTGGAAGTAATATAGGTAGGGGAGATAGCTGTGGTTGAAGGATGCCAAATGGCCCTTGTGGAGGAGAAGTCACACAAAGCCTGTTTGGATGGGAATGACTGGAGGCTGTTGTAGGAAGCTTCGTGTGCACTTACGTCCTGGTGTAACCCAGCAGTGACCCAGCTAACCAGATGCAGATGCGCCTGGGTTTGAGCTGCTGAATTGTTGGTGTGGTAAACTGCTCTGAACACCAAGTGTAGGATGCCCCGAGGGGAGGTGCAGAGGAAGAGTCTGGCTGTGGAAAGCAGGTTAGGTCAAGGGAAGACCTGTGTAGAAGTTCTTGCCGCAGTGGCGTACAGCCTCTAAGGCAGGTGACTCTTCTGCAGCAGACTTGCTAGGGTTTACAGCAAGGAGAAGCATGGAATGCCTTTGTTAGGGAGAATTATGTACATACGAAGGGCTGGGAGAGGGTCTAGCCTCAGGATACATGTAGAACTTCCCATTGGAGAACGAAATGCTTTCCTTGAACCAAAATTGCACTGGGGTGTGCTTCTGCTCATGGGCAACGTGGGAATGGATCGTTGTCCGTGCATAGTTCTGTAGTGTGTTTTGAGGTCTGTGTCAAGCAGGTGTATTCAGTGGGATGGTGGACGTGTCTTTGGAGCGGAAGACGTCTACATCCATGCCTGACTGACAGGAGGACTTCATTTCCATGTTGCATGCAGGCTCTGGCTTCTCATCTGTTGTCAATAAAGGAGCAAGTGGTGTCTAATGAAGGCTTGTTCAGCGTAACCAGGATCAAAAGCCTCCCCAGGGCATTTCACTGGGAGGTTATGAGGCTGGTGGACAAACTGTCTTTTCTGTTCATCTGGGAGTATGAGTCTTTCCTATTTTCCCTAATTTCTTTAACTGCCAACTTGTCTCTCCCTTGGTTTTTTATTAATAAACCCAAGTGAAATCTGTTGTTGCAATGAAAGGACCCTGCAACATCTGCCAGATGGATTGTACACAGTCAGTTTATTAATTTGATGGGGCATTTAAAATCAGCTTCTATAATTGCATTTTAGTTTCATAACAAATAAAGCAGCTATGCAGAGTGAAAAGTTGGGCTATTGTGGCAAATACTGGGGGCTCGCTGACTCTAGAAATGCCTTGTGTTTTACAGCTTGACCCTCCAGGGGTCTGTGAACTTCCTCAGGTAATGGGGTTTGAGAGTCCCCCAGTTCTGGGAGCGAGGAGGACTGTAGCCTCGTTGTGCTGGTACTGCACCTTCCCAGGTCTAATGTTCCCGAGACCTGCGTGGCTCAATGGGTGGGCTTCTTCTGGAAGGAGGATACTGCTGCAGGTGGTTCACAAACACTCCTGGGGTTTGGGTATCAAAAGTTTGAGTAACTGTGCACTTGAGGACATGCAGCCTGCGTGTGTGTAGGCTTCCTAGACTGTGTGCATACCCTTGGGCGGTGTGCTCGGGTGTTGAAGTTGAGCTGGGAGTTAACAGAGCTCAGAGCAAAGGATTTAAGGCCATGTGAAACTTTACAGTGCTCGGCTTACTTCCAGTTTTGACTATGTCTCAGTATAGACGCGGGCAAAATAAATGGGAAGGAGGAGAAACCTTTTCTAGTGTGGGAAAACAATAATAGGAAGAAACTCGGAGCCTGATAAGCTCTGGAACTAAGTGAAGGTCACAGCACAACGCTGCTGCTGAGATGAGGGACTTGACCAAAAAATGGGTCAGTTGCTGATGATTTTTCAGAGCTCAGCAACAGTAATTAACAGCTGACATTGAGCAAAACTCTGCTGTTGGCGTGGTTCTGGCAGCGTCCCTTTTTCTGGGTCCCTGGTACAGCAGTGGCGCAGAAGTGAGAAACGCAAAGGCGAAGAGTGTGGTTGAGAGGCCCTGTGATCTCCGTGTTGGCCTTTCAGACAGATTTGGGTGCTTTGTATAATACCCAGGTTACGTGAGAGGTTGTCCAGGGCACGGAGCTGTTGTACACGTTTGTAGTGGTGGTGTTTCCATGGCGTGATGTATATCTAGTCTTGGGGTGAGGTCGGGGTACCTGTTCAACTTTTTTCTATTTTGTAACCTCCTGGAGTTTGTCTTTGCTTGTAACACATCTTCCAGGGACCAGCTCTGCTGGGGTAGGGCTGGTTATAGACTGGAACAAGGTCTTAGCAACGCGGGCAAGTTTACAGGTCCCGCCACGCTTGGCAGCTGCGTATCCTAGCTAATCTGGAACCAGAGGTACTCCTGTGTGCCTGGGGATTTAGGAAGCCCTGAAGCCCTGTGGCATGTGGACAGCAATAGTGCTATTAGCGCGAGGGTCCCAGATGATCATCCTAATGGATTACCGAGCACTGCAGGTATGCCACTTGGAGTCGCGCATCAGGTTTGAGAGAAACACGAACACTGCGTCAGCCTTTCTCCCTCACCATTGAGGGCATCTTACACGGTCAGGGTGGCTTCAGGATGTCCTTTCCATCAGAGTGGTCAGGGAAGGTCTCTGAAACCCAGGTGTGATACCCCTCTCTGGGCATCAGTGCCTGTCTGTGCTGCCTGTCGCAGAGGTGCGGTGTGAGGCCTCTGGGTTTCTGAGGTGTGCCTTATCACAAGGCTTGAAAGTCTCTGGATTCAGATTCTATATCTGTCCCCCAGATGGCTCCCCGACAGTCATTTAATAGATAAAACAAGCAGAATGGCTTTGTCCCTTGTTTGTAGCTCAATATATAGGATGTGAATTATGATGTTTTCCTGCCCCTCAGGGGGCTGAAACTAAATTAGCCTGTTATCTAGCAATTTGGCCATGACAGCTCCCAAGGACTCGGAAAACCCACAAACAGGGCAGTGGGTGAGATGCAGGTCCAGTGCCTGAGCGAGGCTGACGGGGAGCTGCGGGGGGGAGGAATCGAAGGGGTCCTGTGTCTCGCAGTCCCCGGGTCAGCGAAGGAAAGGGCAAGTCTGAATGGTGCCGGAGTGGCCTAGAGAGAGCTGGGATAAGCAGGTTTGTGTTGGAGCATTGGGGAAGGTCACCGGGAGTACCAGGACTGTCCTCAAACGCTGCCTGTGCCACTTTGCAGAGGAATGCTGGAAAAAGCAAGGCCCCTCTCGGCACTGCTGAGGAGTCAGGATTTGACATCGTTAACATCGTTAGAGCAAGTGGGAAACCTTGGCAGTGAGTTAAGCATGAGGGACCTCAGCAGAGTTCAGTGTGGGAGTCCGAAGGGAAGATCAGCAGAGCTATGGGTAAGGATTGATACGAGGAAGGCTGTGAAAAATGAAGTTAAGGGTGTTACACACTGGGAAGCAGGGCCTGCAGAGCTTTCCTTGTTGCCCTCTAAGTTGCTCTCTATCTTCATGCATTAACTTGTCCCCAGCACAGCAGAATCTGAACTGGAAGGCACGTTTGCATGCTGCAGTAGCTGCGCTGGAATAGCTGGGGTCCTTTCAGCTTCTCCCCTCGTCAGGGACTTCGCAGCGCTGTGCGTGAGGACAGCGGTCATGTGTGCGTGGCTGTGAAATTGCTTGTTTGGTTTTTCATGTCCTGGAATAGAAGATGGGTGCAGTGTATTATGAACCTCTGAGTCTGTGTCATTAGCTCAGGGGTGACAAATGGCAAGAGCACAAATGGGACGTCCCGATGCGAGAGCTGGCCGGTACGTGGAATTGGTCAGCAGCTCCGTTACACACCCATCTTGCATCTTCATCTGGGAACAGAGGTAATAAATTGATGGGTGTGCTGGAGAAGGCTACTGTGGCACCGGTGTTAGAAGTGTCGAGGCCCCCAGGGTGCGCTTGTGTCTCCCACAGCTGCCACTGGACCCTGCCTGACGGGAGGAGACCTTCACATATGGCTCGTGGTGACCACAGGTAGCCCCTGGGGGGAACCTTTCTGGGGCATGTTCCCTGCAGCACAGTGGATCCTAGTCTTCCAGCTCTCATCTCTCCTTGTAGTAATGGCTCTAGGCAGGAATAACAACCAAAACATGTCTTAAAAGATACCGCTGACTGCAAAGGCCAAAGGGGTCTGTTGGTAGCCCACGCTCAAGCAGAGTCCGTGCGGATGCAGGTGGCTGGGTCGTGCAGCTTCTCAAGCAAGACTTGGAATCGGAGAACTCTGCGGGCTGCGCAGGATTCACCACGGAGAAGCTAGGAGGGGGAATAGCGCGGTGCATCCCTTTTAGGGGAAAACCTCCGATGCTGAAGAGAGATCTTGTCTTCCTCAGAGCAAGATGGGGACCATGCCTCATGAGCAAACGCTATGGGAACTGGGCCAGCAGCTGCTGCGTCCCGAGCACGTGCCAGCGGGATCCCTGCACTGACGGAGCAGGAGAAGGAAATTGTCTTGCGAGGCGGAACAGAGGAGGGAGGTTCTGCCTGAGCAGTGAGTGAGACGAGGGTTGGCCTGAGCCCAGCCTCGGGAGTGAACGAGCAGCTTGGGTGCTAGGAGTGGCATTTCTAACAGGGAGGAAACGCTGACAAAGCAAAGCGGGGCAAGTCGGTATCTGAGATAAGATGCAACTTCTGGCATTACTCGGGAAAGGAGCAATCACATATCAGTGTGTAGGGGACTCAAGAAAGGGAAAACCCATGGCCACTATGGATGGGGGTTTTTCTTTCTTTTTTTTTTTTTTTTTCTTTTCTTTTCTTTTGGTCTTGGAACCTGTGGAACAAAGGAAAATGGGAGCTTCAAGAGGAACAGACTTTCCAGAGAACAAACTCAAGATGTGATGTTGCTAGCCCATGTGAAAGGCATATCTTGGTAGCATCTAGAGTCCTGTCGGGCTGGAGACCCGTGTTGCGCTGTGCAACGGAGAAGAGGCTGGACCAGATCCTGCACCTGCAGGTTGTAGAGTCAAACAGTAGAACAGCTGGCAATGAAAACATGGGGTGCAAAGAGGTGGTATTAAAGAGCTGATGCTGCTGAGCTGGTTCTATATGTAGGCTTTAAGGGTTAAACGGGATTGAAATGAATGGAAGGAACACAGTGGAAAAATGTAGTCTTTGGTCAAGACAACTGCCGTGTCATTTGCACCTGGCTGGGGTCCATAAACATTACTTCAGTAAGGAATTTTCCACAAGAGCTGAAGGACGCTACAGTGGATCTCAGGAGAAGTTTGCAGGTACAGTGGGGTGTGTAGCAGGCAGCATAAAAAGGTCTGAAAGACATGCTTGGAGATGAGTAAGGGCTGTGAATGGGGTGGGGGAAAAGTAGGGTCAGGGCCGTGTAGAACATCAGTGGAAGGTGGATTGGTGCCTCAAAGGGGAAGGTAGGAATGTCTGCATTTGGTATGAGAGTGGAGGGGGAGCCAGCAAGAGAATCCTCAGGAGTCACTGAGAGAAAGCCAAGATGATTTCAGCAGCTGCTGCAGGCTTTTCCTTCAGGGTCCTGCAGCAGCAGGTTAAAGGATCTTTGCAGGCAAACCCAGCTGGAGAATGTGGCAGTCACTTGGGCTTCGTTGTTCAGGCTGTGGAGCCAACAGCAGTATAGCACGACACTGGGAAATGGCAGTGGGGCTTGGCTGGCCGGGGCCTGGGATCCAGAGTTGATAAGCTAAAGAAATTTTTTCCCAGTATGTCTTGTTTGTTAACTTCTTCAAAGCATATTTAAGCATTTCATGTGCGCATCCCAACATGACTTAGTATATGCCTCATTACCATGTTTATAGCTATTCAAATTACCAGTGACCTTCAGAGCTAATGGCTGTGTGTATGAGTTGCCCAGCTTGCAGCAATGATTTGTAGGCCTCAGTGGACCATTTATTTCTCTTCTCCTGTCAGCGCCAGCTTTTTCTTGACCACTGTGGTATTGCCGGCTGGGTCCAGGGCCCCCGCAGGCGAGGAGGGCTCCCAGGGAGTTCTGAGCCTGGCGCTGAAGAAGGGCCTGACTTTGCAGACGAAAACGATGCGGGCTTTTGGAGTGACTTGTCGGGAGGGACTGCTGAGAGACGGCATCCACATGTCAAGTCAGTCCCTGCTGAAGTCCAGCTGAATCCAAGCTGCCGCTTTGAGTGCTGTCCTTTCAGTGGGCCAGGCATGAATTGCTGTAGCTTCAGAGCTTCTTGGCACCCATCTGCTCCTTTCCCTGCCAGCCCAAAGCTCATGCTCTCTGTACCTCATTTCTGAAGAAGTTGTGTGTTTATACAGCAAGAAAAGTTTGAATGAGCTGACTGAGGCAGAGGTACCTACCTCCTTCACCTCGACCTTCACTGGTAAGACCAGGCTTCAGCAATCCCAGGTCCCAGAGACCAGTGGGATGGTCCATGGCAAGGTAGGCATACCCTCAGTGGAGAAGGATCAGGTTAGGGAACATTCAAACAAACTGGACGTACGCAAGTCCCTGGGCCTGATGAGGTGCACCAGCGAGTGCTGTGGGAGCTGGCTGATGGCATTGCCAGGCCATCCTTGATCATCTTTGAAAGGTCACGGTGGTCAGGAGAGGTTCCTGATGACTGGAAGAAACCAAATGCCACTCCTGTCTTCAAGAAGAACAAGGCAGAGTGTGGGGAACTCCAGGCTGGTCAGTCTCATCTTGATCCCTGGGAAGGTGATGGAGCAACTACTGGAAACCATTTCCAAACACATGAAGGGCAAGATGGTGATTGGGAATAGCCAGCCTGGATTTGTGAAGGGGAAATCCTGCTTAACCAAGCTGACGGCCTTCTACAGTGAGGTGACTGCCTTGCTGGATGTTGTTTATCTTGACTTGAGCAAGGATTTTATATTGTCTCATGTAACATCCTCAGGGACAAACTGGTGAAATATGGACAACTTTAAATTTTTCCTTTCATTAGAATAGACTCAGTTTGCTTTTACCTTAAAAATCTGTGTTCAGCTTGATGCCAGACAGGCTGAAACTTCAGTCCTTCCAATCCTCAAGAAGCAGCAAATCTTAAAAAGGAGTACCATGCGATTGAAGAGCCAAGCGTAACAATACAAGAACAGAAGGTTCTGGAGAGCTGGATGAGCTGTCCTTCATGAAGGGCTGGTTTGGAAGCTGGAAATACAAAGTACTAGAAAAGGGAAATTTTCCCTTGGGAAGTGTTAGCAGAGTTCTAAAGCGTGGATGAGAGCAGTGGGAAATAAGGTACAGGATTTGGGTCTGTTCCAAATTGTGACAACATCATAACCTTTGGAGAGCAGGAGCATTTGCATCTCAAGAAAAGATCTAGAGAAGAGACTGAAATGAGTCTCCTGTTTGGCTTGTAAATCAGGCTTGCTTGTTTGTTTGTTTTTCCCTTGCTTCCTATAGGATTAATGCCTACAGGCGATTGTGAAGTTCCTCTTCTTTGGGGAATTTGCTTTGGCTGGCATGGAGCAGTACTTAATGTATTTATAACTCTGGTGTTTGGATTTAGCTGTGAGTGACACATGGGCACTATGGCGATGGGTGCAGGGGTGAATCTGATAGTGCCGTCTGTGAGGCGTTAGGAGGGAGCTGAACTGGAAAGGTAGCAGCACGGGTAGAATGTGGATGTGTCTGTGCCTTCTGCCAGTTGGGATATCAAATGCCATAGTAATTCAGGTTTTTATTTGTTAACGAATTTAAAAAAAAAAAAAAAAAAAAGAGTTGTCCACTCAGTTACCAGCAACAGAAATCCCAGCCTGGCTGTAGGACCGTGGTCCGTGTCAGGGAAGGTATGCTCCTGTGTGGGTAATCGCACCCTCTTTTCTTCCTGAGCTGAAAGTCCTGTAAATCTGCCAACTGGGAGTTAAGCCTTATGCTGTATTCCCACCACTGACGCCTGTCTGCCTTACCGGGGAAGGATGGCTTTCCCTTCCAGCCCTGCGCATCGCTCGGGGTGGGTGGTGAACACCCAGGAGCAGCAGGAGTGAGTTCCCCAGAGGTGCGACAGGACAAGGGGTAATGGTTTTAAACTAAAGGAGGGTAGATTTAGACTGAACACAAAGGAAAAAATTTTCACGATGAGGGTGGTGAAACACTGGAAGGGGTTGCGCAGAGAGGTGGGAGACGCCCCATCCTTGGAAACATTCAAGGCCAGGCTGGACGGGGCTCTGAGCAACCTGATATAGTTGAAGATGTCCCTGCCCATTGCAGGGGGTTGGACTGGATGGCCTGGAAAGGGCCCTTCCATCCCGAAGCCTCCTGTGATTCTATGATTCTGTGTTGGCCCCAGTGGACATACGAAGAGCACAAGGACGCCTGCATCGATGGGGTTGCTGGTATTTTGGATCAAGACAGGAAAAGAGAAAAGAAACCATTTTCCTCAGAGGTCTTTGACTTGGAAGGCACCACTGCACTAATTACACAGTGCTTTGTGCAGAGATTACCAGCTGGGGCAGAAAGCAGTGCAGCTAACACGCATGAAGCCTGAATGCTGCAGGAGGTGCAGGGAGGGACCCTGGGGGTGGTGGAGGCCGGCGAGATGACAGAGGTGACAGGCAGCAGTGTGGTCATTCGAACACAGTGCTCCTGCCTCCCCGTGCTGCGGTGAAGCAGAGACGTTCAGGAGAGAGGAGTCAAGCGTGCCAGCCTCCGCAGCCCTTTGTGGCCTTCAGGACAGATGCCTCGCTGCGTTTCAGCTGTCGGTGGAAGTGTCTTCATGGGGCGGTAATCTGAGAGGACGGCTTTTGGGGAGTGGGGGCTCACCCTTTCAAACTGGGCATTTTCGTGCGTTCTGCAGAGTGCCCAGCCCACTCTGAGGGGATAGGTAAAAAAGAGAGGAGCGATGGGATACTGGGAATTGTGCAGAATCCTTGTACTATGGAGAAGATGAGCAGTAACCACGTTTGTGTGGCTCTGGCACCACACGCAGCCGTAGGATACTTGCATACCCTTGTGGTACAAATTTTATTATTATCAAAGAGTTTATCTCGAGAGCTGTTCCTACTGAGGATCGAAGATCTGGTTGCTGGGAACCGTGTTGTACCAATGGTCTCATTTGCTTGGTGGTTTCTTGCATCTAGAGCTGAATAGCTGCGGATCGGCTCTGTGCATTCTGCGCGGTGCAGTGCAGCCCTAGGAGAACGAGACAGTAAGGTTTCCCCATGCTTGCTGGTTGCCTCATCGCTGTCCTCCCTTTGCCAAAGGGCCTTTTTGGTAATCAGCCACAGGAGGTTCCTCGTCTTTTATGGGGGCCTGCCTGATGGTTGGAGGGAGCATCCAGCAGCCTCCAAGGTCACTACTGCCTTTGGGCTGGGTCAGGTCCCGAGACTTGTCTGCAAACCTCCGGTCTCTGCCTTGGGGAGAAGCAGCCAAATTCACTTGCGTGTGTTCCAGATCATAGGCAAGCTCAAAATGAAGATGAGGTTTCTGCTATCAAAGTCACAAGATTACGTTACGATTACAAAGTTGGAGAAAATGCCATAGGAAGAAAGCATAAGAAAAAACGATGCAAGTTTAAGATAGACCCGGTGCCAGCCTTTTACTTCACCTGTTGTCCAGGGGTTTGTGCAGGAGCTTAAGAACCCAGTTTGGTGTCCCCCCTTTGTATGAGGGGGTTTTATAACGGCTCCTGAGGTTTCAAAGGAAGTCCCAATAAACCCCACGTCTCTGTGCTAATCAAGGAGATCTCTTGATGTGGTGGGCTTGTTTTTACGAACTTGCTATCCAGATAATGCTGAGGGAATACTTTCGAGATCGTTTGAGATTTCACTCCGACAGCAGGGACCCCAGGATGCTGACTCTTCTGTTTATTTTTTGTCTGGATGTCAAATGAATTGCCGTTACAAATGTTTTCCAAAGGATGTATCAAAAGCTTATCACTTTCGGGTGATGTGCAGCAGTTTCTCTTGATCTACAGCATTTTATAGACTACATCTAACACGTTAATTCACAATCTGTTCCAGAGACCACTGTGTTACAAAGAGTTAGGAAAGCATTGTGAGCCACAGTAACCTGAAAGCATATGTAAGTGCTCTCCTCCACTCCCCTGGATTGGGATGGTGCAATTAATTGGCCTTGCAAGTGCTTGAATTCAAGTGAGAGGTGCACATCAGCCATTTTCTGGATAAAATAGGGGTAATATCTGGGCACTCTGGATACCGTATATAAACAGGGAACATCCAGGAAGATTAGTCACCATTCTTCTCTCTTGCCTTGTGCACGTTTTTGTTCTCTTGAGTGCTCTGGGAATGACAATCGTTTTCTCTGTGGCCATAGGAAATGTAATGGTCCCATCTGATGCATTTTTAAATGTCCCAAAACAATCCAGATCTTTCTTGCAGAGCCTGCCAGCATAAGGTGTGGGGGATCCAGTTGTAGGGAACTAGGAGATGATAGCTGACATCAAACGTACGTTTGCTGGCAATGGTTTTCATAGCAGAAACCTCAGACTGTTTTGTAACCTCGGACTGTGCTGGCTAGTCTGCTTTGGACCCCACTTCATTCTTAAGGTGTAATAAGAAATGCTGGTTTTGTCTGTGGCTCTTCGGGAGTTTGTACCCTGGCTACCTGAAAGCCATCCTCTTCAGCTGGCAGTTGGTGAGGAGTTCAAGCTGATAGTTCCCTGCTTTAATGAGGACGTTCCTGATGTGATTCTCCGTTAAAATCTCCTGGACTCTGAATTCATTTAATCTTCAGAGCACATTTCAAGACTTCCTTTCTGTTTCTCTAAGCTTTGAGCTAGTAAAAACAAGGCTTAATGGGCTGGGAGAATTTTGCTGTGACACTGAAGTGCTTTCCTGTTTGCTCTGTCGCTTGGAGTGAACCAGCTCTTGGTTTTTTGGGCACAGGCCAGTCCGGACACCCCAGTTCTCAGGGTGACTTGTATTGTCGCCTTGGCCAATTTCTTTCCCTCTCCCCGTCTCGTTTTCCTTACGGGGCTGTGATTCCTCTGTTGCTCTGAGGTGTCAGAAGTTACAGTAGGTAGCGTGTTTCCAGGGAATGGTTTTGTCAAAGCCGATGTTATGCCTGGGTCCCCCATCAACAGTCCTCGTTATAAAGATGGTGCTACCAGTTCGCTGTTTAATTTTCACAGCACATGGCTGCTTGAAGGCCGTTGTGTACCCTGTCTCTCTTCTGGACATGGGTGAAAGAAGCTTTTGAAGGCTTCTTGAGGTGCTTTCTTCCTCCAGACCACTCCTGACCCCAGACAAATTTTCTGTGCTCTGCCCTTCCGTGTTTCCGCTGTGGTAACGCTACACGATGGTCCTTCTGACCTTCCCTTTTTCTGGGAGCCCTGCTCATTCTCATGTACCTGTTTCTGTCTTCCCACAGTGCTGAGTATTGGTGAAGGTGGCTTTTGGGAAGGAACCGTGAAAGGAAGGACTGGCTGGTTCCCGGCAGAATGTGTTGAGGAGGTGCAGATGCGACAGTATGATCCACGGCAAGGTAAGCTGTTTTCTTAGATCTGAACGTCTTTCAGCAGACACGCTGAACAGCCCTGGGAATTCAGAAGTATTCATTTTAAATTTCCAGCCGTCTCTGAGTTTGCCCATTCTTTGCAGTGGGTGATGGATGCATCTGACAAATTGTGTTGCTCAAGGTGTTAGTTTATGTTACTGAGTGCGTTAGCATCCAGTTGTAGACACGCTGATCCACGGTAAGTGTGTGGTACTGTCAGGAGGAGAGCAATCGTCGGTCCTTTTGTGGAGATTACTGCAGTGGCAGGGTCTTCTGCAAGTGGGTAATGGAGCAAGAGAGTGTGACTGGTGATCTGAACCTCCAACCCCGCGTTGCATTGTAGGAGACTTCAAAAGAAAGCAGCAGATGGATCCTCAGTAATTCACATGTTTGTTCTAGTCCAACAGAAAATATTAAAATTGGCTGTGACTCAGGCCTGGCACTCCTGACCCTCCGTCCCCAGCGCCAGCCACCACTGAACAGGTATTTGCTGTTCCTGGGGGACAGCGGTGTCAGGAGGAGCTGCAGATTGCATGTGCCAAACAGTCCGGTCATCTCAGAGGTTACTGGGACTTAGTGGGTTTGTTGCGGGGCGTATCACCGCAGCTTACCCCTTGTCGCTGGCAGCTGCCCGGGCAGCGTTCCTCTCCCAGCCTCAGGACTGGGTGCACTTCTGGCGAGCCTGAACTTGTCCTGGTGTAAAGCAACTGAAGAGAACATCTGGATTTTTTTTTTTTTTCCCCAGAGTACTACTTAGGAGAGCGGAGAAGTGGTCCTGATTTGACAGATTCAGTGTAGGTCACTTTGCATATTAAATGAGCTTTAAAATTCACACAGATGGATTCTGGTAAGGGAGAGTTAAACCTTGATTGCAAAGTTGGAAACAAAGTTGTAGAAGAGAAAAGAAAATCAATAAAATAAGGTTCTCCATTTTGCACAACTAGTTTTAATTAGTTTCTGGAAGCCTAAACCCACTTATAAAGTCTTTTCTTTGCTCTAATCCCAGTCCTGCCTGAGAGTTTTAAATGTAGATGTTTGCACCCTCAGGCGTCTCCTTACCAGGATGCTTGGATTCCATAAGTGAGCCACTAACCCTGTGCTTGCTGTGACAAGTATGTGGCAGGTCACGCGTCCTCTGGGACACTTGCATGTCAGTCCCTGTGGATAAAGTATTAGGTGCCTTTGGGACCTGGTCTGGTGGCCGTGGAGGGCGTAGTGGGAGTGGAACTCCACCGGTAGCGCTATGAACCTGCACACCGCAGGGTCTAGTCAGCAAAGCTTTTCTCCCTCTGCCTCTGGTTTGGTTCAGCTGTTAGCTCTCCAGTCTGCAGTTCCAGCTTGTGTTCCCAATGCTCATTCGTATTCTTTCTTGAAATTATCTTTGTATGTGCTTCATCTTACTGCAGTGGTCACCCCTGCCTTTGGCCTCTCCTGGCCAGAGAAGGCTCCTGTCTGAGCACAGTGTCGTGAACTCAGCTGTGCTCTGGGCCCATTAGAAGTGAAGCAGATGTGTTTCTGTTGTGCTGATGGGAAACGCTTGATGACAGTGGAGACTTGGTTGGGATATTCCTCCTTTTTCAGGGGTGATTAGGGCTGATGAGTTGAGACTTCCACTGAAGAGGTTCCCCCTTCTGCCCTCTCGTGCTGCTTCGGAGCTCTACTCTGGAGCCATCTCAGTGTGCAGGAGCTGTTTGCCCTGTCCTTTTGTGATGCTCAATCAAAGAGAGTAGACTAATCGCAGTGGTTTATAAGCCCTTCCTGTATCTAGGAGTTCCTGTTTGCTGGGTGCTTTCTTGGAGAATGTTACGTGTTTGGGTTAAATTTAAATTGTGTAGTGAAATGTGAAAAACAGATGGTGTTTAGACACTAAAGCTGGAGCAGAGGTATGAGCATTTTCTTCCAGTTGTCCACACTGTTTAGTTGTTGGCATGTCCCCCAGCACGGTTTTGGCTTTTGCCAACTCCTACTTTTCCAGACAAAGCATGGGCACAGTTTTCAGGTACAGATTGTTTGCAGAAGGTAGTTTGGATAAGGCCATGATGTTTGTGCACAGAAGAAAGTTTAGCTGCATGGACATGATGTTGCTCTACCACTTGTCATCAAGATCAAAGAAAGAGAAGTGTCTGTCTGAGGAGTTTAAGTATAGCCTGGCAGCTGATTAGGCTGTGCACTGATGGAAGGGTTTTGGCCTGACTATACTTTGCTGGGGAACAAAGCCACATCAGACTTGCGGACATCTCCAACTGTGTTTATTGATTGAGGAAAGTAGCAGGGTTGCATGGCAGATACCTGACTACGCTCTTGTTGGAACAGATTGAAGATGACTGTGACAAGGATGAGAACAGCTCATTGTGATCTTCATTGAAATTCAGAGAGCACAACTTTCAGGGTTGACATTTTGGAGATGGTATTAGGATGTTCCTTTAACCTGCATGTATTTTCATGCTTTGAGGGAAAAGGCCATGAGCTGCATATTGATCTGCCTAAATGAGCCAAGTTCTTCTCTACGGGTGCCTCTGGGTCAGCACTTCCCTCCCAGGTCCCAGTTCATAGACGCTGCAGTGCGCTTGTTGACTCTGAAGGAATATGTCCCGTTGCCCACCTCTGTTACAGGCCGCAAGGCAGAAACTTAAGTTTCTCTCTTCCCAGTGAGGGTCTCCTTAGGTATCTCCTGTCTCTGGAACTGAAATCCTTTGGGGCCTAAACAGAGTTTTTTGGTAAATAACTCAAAGTTTCTGTATGTTCTAAATGTGTTTCTTCTGGCCCTACCGAGTCGGAGATCTCTGCTTTTGCCCGTCTTCCCATAGAGGTGATCCTTCGTGTATCACCCTGATGTCCCGAGAGGAGATCCAAGTTCTAATTATCGATCGCATCGCTTCATTACACGCTTTTATTCCTGTCTGCATCTGTCCTCTAACACCATGCCCTATATTCTACTTAAAGTGGTGTGACATTTCTCTTGGATTCAGGGAATTAATCTTTTTGTGCCTTCCATGTGGTTGAAACAGGCCTTGTCTTTCTGCCAATATAGGATCAAGCTCATCAGGTGGTCCTCACAGCTGTTGGTAGTCTGAGATCTGTGGGTGTAAGAACCCGCATGCAAGCATCAGCTAGTCACATCTCCCTGTCCCTGGATCTGTTATGAGGTTATGGTGTGCAGACCTGCCTTTGGGCAGTGGGAATGCCTCCCCTCAGATCTCAAGCTGCATCGTGTCATTCTGCACGGGAATGTCTTTGTCTCCCTGAGTGGAGGCACTGGTGGAGCTTGGGCCTGGAGGAACTGTGCTCCTGCTTGTCGAGCAGCCGCTTGGACCTTCGTTCACGCTTGCAGAGGTGCTGCGGAGCGTCACCAGGGGACGTGACAGGTACCGCGGGTGGGCAGCACTTGTACAAGTACCTGAGAGACTGCAGATCTATATCCAAATGATGTAGGAAGATGATCTTTCATGGTGCGAATGCGTGTTGGGCTCTGACTAAAATGAAACAGAAAAAGACGTTGTTTGTTAGTGACCATTTTTCAGCACGCCCAGCCCATATGTACATCTGCCTCTCATTCTCCTTCCTCTCCTCCTCAGCATGTCCCCAAGGACCACGTAGCTCAGGGTTTAGAGAGCACCAGGTCACTGAGCAGGAGTTGCCTGATGTGCATCATCAACGAGAGAAGGAGCCACGTGCCCCTGTGGCTTGTGCTAGAGCTAAAGCCGTTTGCCTGGAGTGGTGGTGCCCCAGGCACACGCTAGTGGTGGGTCCCAGTGCCGGTAAGTCACCTGCTGTTCAGCCACTGAAAGCATGGAGAGAAGGAGCACTCAGGGAAGGGACTCTACCTAAATGTCTGGTCCCTCAGAAATCAAAGTGGCTTTAAACCAAGAAATGAGGGGGGATGATTTGGACAGGCTGCTATCTGCGTTGCTCGTTTTAGTACAAGAGGAGGAACATCAGATAGAGGTTGACATTTCTTTGCCTAAAGGAACACAAGAGAGGAGGTGAGCAGACAGGTGAAAGCAACAGCAAAGCAGGCAGACTGCTCTGAGAAGTGGCTGTCTTCTCTGCGGTGGAGTTGATGGTGGCCAGTAAGATACGGCTGAGGTATTTAAAATACAAATGCCAGCTCATGAGTGCAGAGGGGAAGGAGCTGAGCCAAGCGATTCGGTCAGTACGACAGCTGTTATGGGCGAGAACAGGCCAGAGCAGCACATGTGTGCTTTAAAGAAAGGCAGAGGTGACGATAAAGCTGAGGGTAGGAAGCGTGTGTGATGCATGGACTGTGCAGGAAGAAAGATAGGACAAAAACATACGCCTTCACATTGCTTTGGAAAATGATGGTGTAAGATCCTGGTACTAAGGGTAGAGTCTAGATTTTTGTATTTGATAAAGAAGAAAAATGTAGTGAAGTAAGTGGAATTGACTGTCTTCAGTGAGTTAAAACAGAGGTGAAATTTTGAGTGAATATTTTAAGTCAAAGCTACAAAAACCTGCCCTAACGTATTCCTGGCAAAAGAGAAATCTTGCAGGTAGGGAATCCAAATGTGATTGTTCCTAGGGCTCTAGGAATAAGCAAAGCTCTTAAAGAACAAGGACTAAGATTCATCTGCAAAAAAGTCTGTATCAGGGGGATCTGAAATCATAAATGTAAGATGCAAGTTGCCAAAAACTCGGCTGAGCTAGACCTTGAGAATGTTCAGAGGAGTAATAGTAGATTCTTCAGCTGTACAAATAAGAGTACGGAAAGAGGATGTAGAGCTATTAAGTAATAAGAATGAGATAAGATCAAAGCTAATGAGATAAAGGTCCAAATCTACCAGAG